ACTGTCGTTTAAAAGAAAGTTTTGTATCAGACTAGTCGACTAGTCTAAAAGCAAAAAACCCAAAAACGATGAAAAGAAAAAAAAACCTCTGCGCGTGCGTGTAGCAGGTAGTATAATAGCCTATATTTGAAATACTTAATCTATGAATCACACTGTCAAATCCCTCAATGAATTCTGCTCGCCGCACACTTGCCTCGCGTTATCATCGTTTTATTTTAGGCGGTCGTTAAAAAGAAAAAAAAAGAAGAGCATACACTCAACGTCGTTCAAAGCATAGCTTATTTATTCAAATCAGCTGGGGAAATGCAGAACAATGGAAAATCAGTCAATAGCCTGACAGAAATCTTAATCTTCATATAACGTTAGCCAACATATTAAAACAAATGCAACAATGCCCATTTTACTTACTCAGACCATGCGTTATTTGTTCAGTGAAATTATCAACGTGGTCTGGTGAAAGACGGGACCTGAGGCGATTAACAATAAAATTCCTGCACTTGAAAAAACGCGCTCGGCAGGAACTGAAGTCGCAGGCACGCAGAGATAACGAAAAGCAAGCCGATAGAGTTTCAGAAAGCGCCTGGACATCCCGCACCACCACCGAAGTGGGTCTTCGTTAAAGGAATAGACGGCGCGGACGGGATCGCAGCGGCGGCGGGTTGTAGTGAATGACGTGATTGACATTTGCTGGCTTTGGCCAGCCTCTAAGCTAACGCCTACGTGCCTGTATTGAATATGATTACGCATCGCTCCAGTAGAGTTATTGTAAGACAATTTGACATTACACAGTTTACACAAAACTTTTCCGTTTCCTTCTAATTCAAAATAATCCCACACCTTCTCGTCTTTCGTGCGGTCATTTTTTAACTCACGGCAACTGACACGAAGAAAACACATGTGAGGTCCGAGGTAAAAATGTAGTTTCCACCCAGATAAACTTTTAAAAATAATGTTGTGTTTTTCAAACGTTTTATTTTAACTTATTTAAAATGTTTTAAAATGCAATGTTAAAATGACGGTAATTTGAATGATAAAATCATGTTTTTCTTTTTTGTTTTCTGTCGTGTAATCGACTATTGTTTTCAGTGTCGACTAGTAGGAGTTGTACCGTTTAGTCGACTAGACCCGTACATCCCTACTTTTGACACACAAGAGGTCGTTATACTATAAACACTTTGTTTGTCCAAAAACATTTTATTGAAACCAACTTGCTAAAATAACTTATTTTCTACTTGCTTTACTTTTCTGCTTCAGAAACAGATCAACAGCTGCTTTGTTGTTTTAATGATGGTTTAGTTGCCTTTTTAAACACCAGCTGACCTTTAAAAATGAGAAAGAAAAGAGTCTTGGACATTAACCTGAACATTAATTCTGAAAATGGCTCGTTTAATTGTTGGAGATTTGTGACGTCACATGGGCAAATACATTTGCATATGACCGCCTCTAGAGCAAGACGTTGACGAATAGTTATACACCATTTACACTATAGGCCCCGGCCACTGGTGTTAAGTCACTTAATGGTAGGGTTTTGTTTTTCGACTTGAGCTGTCCCCAGAAATGTCCTCATTTGACAACACATTCAAAAAAGCTTGCAAATAGATAGCAAAAAAGCCCAAAGCCAACATAGCCTGCTGCTTACCAGAGCAATCGTGTAGTGATTATTTCTGTCATTCTGTCAATCAGTCATTCATTCAACCGATTCGTTCAAATGGCCGATTCATTCAGAAACGAAGCATTCTGACGGGCTCTTTCCTATTCCCCAATCCCTTCGAATTGTCTACCATCCAGAGTGAGAGCTCTGAAAGGATGAATAGTGTAGGGGACCAAAAAACTGTTCCTTGGAACGCACTTCTGCGTCTTCTAGCTGAGGCAGTTAAGGAGGGGCCATCATCACACAATTAAACCTATGTCAAGAATCATGGGCGCTAAGTGTCCATCAATTGTACCTTTCAAAATCCTTAATTCCGAAGGGCCCTTTCAAGAGGCCGGTTTTGTGCCCTTTGGTTTGGAATGACTCTTCATTATGGTGGCCATGATTGTTCTCACTCTGAAGTGCCCTTCATAGATACATTTATCCTGTTTGGGAAGCAGTGTCTGTCTTTATGAATTG